GTGCGGGCACCGGCCCCGGGAGCAGCATCATGAGCGGTGAGTGGCGGCCCTGCCGCTGTCACCTGCCCCAGTCGCCCCAGCTCCCGCCGCTCCATCTGCACACTGCGAATCCTGAGTCCCCGCATCCCACTCTCTCCCAGACCCCCGCCCCATCGCTCCCAGTGTCCTGACCGCTGGCCACCGGGATGCCTAGTTCCTAGCCCCTGGTCACCTCCAGTTCTCTGACCACCCGAGTCCAGGCACTCCCAGTCCCCTGACCCCTGTCCATCAGTTACAACGAGCTCCTGGTCCCCTTGTCCCTCAGTCCCTCCCAGTCCTCCGACTACCTTGCCCACTTACCAGACCCCCGCACTCATCTCCCTTGTCATAGTCCCTCCTATCTCCCAGACGCTTGAGTCCCAGTTCCAGCCCTCAACCCCTCAGTCATTCCCAGGACCCAGGACCCTTGCCTCCAGTCACTCCAGTGTCCACACAGGCAGAGGGTGACTCTAGACACTCAGTTTGTTGACCCCTAAGCCCCCGTGTCCCAGTAGCTCCTAGTCCCCAAAAGACTCTCAGTTCCTCAACCCCTTTGTCTCCCCGCCTATCTTATTCCCTTGGCCCCTGTGCCCCAGTGCTTTGCTGTTCCAGTCACCACTTGTTCATTTACCATCCCTGCCTCCCTCTCTGATCCTCGGGTCTTACACCTCGGTTATTCCTTAATACTCCAGCCACTTCCATTTCTTCTAGCTCATGTGAGGTCTCGCTTGTCCTGCCCTGCAACCCTTCCTTTCTTGCCCATTGCTGAGCCCATCTGAGGACGGTCGTTTTGCCCTTCTGCCCTCCTCCCTCCCTCCGGGGAGAGGGCTGGTTCTGGTGGAGAGGCTGGAAGGGGGAGGGAGATGGGTGTAGACAGCTTGTCCTCAGTGTTTCTGAAGTTTGGTCCCTTGACTCTGACTTAATGTTCACAGTCCTTTCCTCTGAAGAATCTTATTGGTGTCTTGGTGCTAAGTCATTCCTGGGTGTTATATGTGGCGATGGGAGTGACTCAGGGAAGCGTCTTAGCTCGCCCTGACTGTCTTTCCGGGCACTATGGGATCCGGATTTCCTCAGGAGGGACCGCCTGTCCCCTTACTGCTTGTTTTTCCCTCACTGTGGAATTGCTTCTGAAGAATCTCCGCATCCAGCTCCCTCTGCCCTAGCTTTCCACTGAGGAATTTCTGAAGATTGGGAGGGGGCAAGGTGACAGGGCTGCTTCTCTCTTCATTTTTAACTTTTAAGTTATCTCTGGATTTTTTTCCCCCAAGTTTTGTGTCTTTTGGTTTTGCTGTTCAAGAGCAGAATTTGTGAAGCAGTTGGTCCTTCTGAGGGGGTTTGTGGCAGAGTAAGGAGGTTCCTGTGAGATAGTCCGTCTTCTGTTACCAAAATGAGTGAATAGGGTTTCTTGAACGTTAGTGGTGCCACAGCAAAGATGTGAAGAGCTGGATTGACTACTCTGGAAGTCCCGGTCAAATGGGGATAAATAGAAGCCCCTACCTCCTAGGCTTGTTGTAATGACTACATAATATTTCTTAGGTAGACTGATTGGTACTATGCCTCTCACATGGTATATGAGAGGTATCATTGTTGTTGTTTCCATAGGACCCATGTGGGGTTGGGATTGGGGTTATTTCTTTGCCCAGCTTTGGGATAAGGGCTGAGGCTAGGCACTCCCTGAAAATCTCTTCTTTTAATGTGACCAAGGAATCTTTGTCACAGGTTCACAGTTAGGGACCATTCTTTATTCTGTCTTCATCACAAGAGGAAGTGAAATTGACAAGCCAAGGGGAATTGATCAGTTTATCTTTCAAGGAGCAATTTAATATCAAAGTTAAGGAAGGATTTTACTTTGATTTTTAATCGTTAGGTCTAGTCGGAAAAGACTCAACAGCAATGGGGGTTTTTTTTTTTTTTTTGTTAAGACCAAACAAGTTACAAAAAGAAGCCAATAAAGAACTTTTTAGGAAAAAGGCATTAAGGATAAAAAAATAAAAAACTATTGCCATTGAGTTGATTCGGACTCATAGTGACCCTATAGGACAGAATAGAACTGCCCTATGGGGTTTCCAAGGAGCAGCTGGTGGATTCAGACTGCAGACCTTTTGGTTAGCAGCCAAATGCTTAACCTCTGCACCACCAGGGCTGCATTAAGGATGAGAGACTTCTTTTAGAAAGATTGTAGTAGAAGCAAAAAAAGTGGTTGCTGAGAATAGAAGGGGAAGTCCAAGGTATTCTCAATCCTTTTTTGAGAATTCAGTTGAAAGGGGAGTTTCCCACCTGTGGGGTTAATAATTGCCATATAATAAAATAATATGACATAGACATTTTTCCTCTCTTCTGTCATTTTTCTGTTTTTTTTCTTTATTGTACTTTTCATGAAAGTTTACAGAGCAAATTAGTTTTTCATTAAACAGTTAATACACGTATTATTTTGTGACATTGGTTGCCAACCCCATGACATGTCAACACTCTTCCTTTCTCGACCCTGGGTTCCCCATTACCAGCTTTCCTGTCCCCTCCTGCCTTCTCATCCTTGCCCCTGGGCTGGTGTGCCCATTTAGTCTCATTTTGATTTATGAGCCTGTCTAACCTTTGGCTGAAGGGTGAACCTCAGAAGTGACTTCACTATTGAGCTATAAGGGTGTCTGGGGGCCATACTCTCAGAGTTTCTCTAGTCTCTGTCAGACCACTAAGTCTGGTCTTTTTTTTTTTTTTTGTGAGTTAGAATTTTGTTCTACATTTTTCTCCAGCTCTGTCTGGGACCCTCTGTTGTGATCCCTGTCAGAGCAGTTGGTGATGGTAGCCAGATACCATCTAGTTGTGCTGGACTCAGTCTGGTGGAGGCTGTGGTAGTTGTGGTCTATTAGTCCTTTGGATTAATCTTTCCCTTGTGTCTTTTGTTTTCTTTATTCTCCCTTGCTCCAGATGGGATGAGACAGTGGAGTACCTTAGATGGCTGCTCACAAGCTTTTAAGACCCCAGACGCTACTCACCAAAGCGGAACATAGAGCATTTTCTTTATAAATTATGTTATGCCAATTAAGCAAGATGTTCCCCGAGACCGTGGTCCCCATGGCCCACAGCCCAGTAATTTGGTCTCTCAGGGAGTTTGGATGTGTCTATGGAGCTTGTCTTTTTTTTTTTTTTTTAACAGAAAATTTCAAACATCAGAAAAGTGAATGATAACCCCCCATGTACCTATCATATGACTTCAACAGTTATCCACTCATTTCATCTATATCCCTCCCTACTTCCCTCCCCAGATTTGAAGCGAATCCCAGGCACCATATCATTTCACCTGTAACTATTTCAATATGTATCTCTAAAATATAGAGACTTCTTTTTTTTTTATAACTCAATTCCATTATCACAGTATAAGAAATTAGCAAGAATTCCTTAATAGCATCAAATATCCAGTCAATGTTCAGATTTCCATGATTGTCTTATAATTTTATAGTTTATTTGTTAAACTCAGGATCTAAATAAGGTTTAAACACTGCAAGTTGGTTATATATTTTTGTCTCTTTCTCTTTGTTTTTTTTTTTTGTTTTTTTTTTTAAATTCAGTGGCATTTAATACATTCACAGAATTGTGCAACCATCACCAGTATCACCACCATCTCGTTCCAAATGATTTTCATCACCATATTCCCTTTTCCCTGTAGCCCCTTGGCAACCATAATTTGCTCTCTTTCTCTATGGATTTCCCTATTCTGGACGTTTCATATAAATGGAATCATACAATAGGTGGCCTTTTTTTGTCTGACTTCTGTTATTTTAGCATGTTTTCAGGGTTCATCTCTGTTGTAGCATGCATCAGTACTTCATTCCTTTTTGTGGCATAATAATATCCCATTTTATGTATATTTCACATTTTGTTTATACATTCATTTTGATGGACATTTGATTTGTTTCTTCTACCTTTTGATTATTGTGAATAGTGCTGCTGTCAGCATTCACGTACAAGTATTTGAACACCTGTTTTCAGTTCTTTTGGGTAGACAGTGAGGAGTGAAATTGCTGGGTTATATGGTAACTCTGGAGCCCTGGTGGCAAGGTGGTTAAGAACTTGTCTGCTAACCAAAAGGCAGTGGTTCAAATCCACCAGCCACTCCTTGGAAACCCTATGGGGCAGTTCTACTTTGTCCTATAAGGTCACTATGAGCCAGAACCTACTCAACAGCACCTAAGAACAACAACAACGATGGTAACTATGTTTAATTGTTTCAGGAACTATCAGACTGTTTTCTAAAATGATGACAATATTTTAAATTCTCACCAGCTGTATAAGAGTGTTCCATTTTCTCTATATCCTTGCCAACACATAGATTGTCTGCCTTTATGATTATTGCCATCCTAGGGGATTTGAGGAGCCCTGGTGGTGCAGTGGTTAAGAGCTATGGCTGCTAACCAGTGGATTTGAAGTGGTATCTCATTGTGATTTTTGATTTGCATTTCCCTGATGCTGATGAAAGGAGCCTTGATGGCTCATTGCTTAAAGCTCTCGGCTGCCAACCGAAAGGTCGGTGGTTCCAACCCACCAGCCACTCCTTGGGAGAAGGATGTGGCAGTCTGCTTCCATAAAGATTTACAGCCTTGGAAACCCTGTGGGGCATTTCTACTCTGTCCTATAAGGTCACTATGAGTCGGAATCGACTTCATAACAGTGGGATGCTGATGATGTTCATCATCTTTACATGTGCTTATTGGCCATTTGTGTATCTTCTTTGTGGAAATGTGTGTTCAGAGTCTCTGCCCATTTTTTAATTTGATTATTTATCCTTTAATTGTTGAACTGTAA